TTTTAAGTGAAGTATGTTTCATTATAATGGCTTAAATAGCTATCTCAACTATTTTAAAAAATAGTTTATAGAGTGAAAATGATCTCTGGGACTTTAGTGGTTAAAGTGTTCAGCAGCTAACCACAGCATCAGAAGTTCAAAACCACCAGGCATTCACAGAAGAAAGATATATGGCAGTTGGAGACCACAAAGATTTACAGCCTTGGAAATTCTTTGCTCTGTAGGGTTGCTCTGAGTTGGAATTGATTCAACAGCAACAGGAATGGACATAAAATGAAAATGAACTACTGAGGTCAAGATGAGATAACTTTGTAAACAGAGGTCTTGGCATTCAAATCCAGGTCTGTCTGACACGGAGGCTGGACTTTTACTACCTAGCCTCTTGAGTTTTAAATGCTCAAAAAGGTTGGAGGGTGTTGATCATATTTCCCCAATGCTTATTCTTTCCCACTGTAGTTGTTGTTGAGTGTCGTTGTGTTGCTTCCAACCCATAGCTCCAATATGCACAACAGAATGAAAAACGACCCATTCCTGCGCCATCCTCACAGTGGTTCCTGTGCCTGGGCCCATTGTTCCAGCCACTGTGTCCATCCATCTCATTGAGCGCCTTCTTCTTGTTCACTGCCTCTCCACTGTCAAAAACATGGTACCCTGCCCCAGGCACTGCCCAAAGTATGTAAGAGAGAAGCCATGCCATTCTTGCCTTTAAGGAGCACTCTCACCACACATCATTCAAGATGGATTTGTTCGTCCTTTTGGCTGTCTGTGGTACTTCCAAGATCTCCATCAGCACCGCAATTCAGATGCATGGACTCTTGCTTGATTTTCCTTATTCAATGTCCAACTTTCAAATGCACATGAGGTGATAGAAACTACCATGGCTCGGGTCAGGAGGGTCTTAGTCCTCAAAGTGACATCCTTACTTTTCAAGACTCTAAAGAGGTTTGTGTAGCATATTTAACCAGTGACTTGACGGTTGCTTCCATGAGCATTGATTGTGGATCCAAGAACTACAAAATCCTTGGCAACTTCAATCGTTTCTCCATCCATCATGATTGGAAAATGGACTATTGGTCCGATTGTGAAGATTTGGGTTTTCATTACATTGAGTTGTAATCTATGTTGATTACTGCTATTAGCATACCTCACAAAAGTCCACACCCTTTCAAAAAGTATCAAGATCCAATCTCTCTTCTAAGGCTCAGTGTAAGGTTGGAAACCTCTCTTACACCATTCCAAATGTCAAGCCTGGTTAACTTTTCTCTTCACCAAATAATTTCAGGACTAATATATGAGGGGGTACCCCCAAAAAACTGATGCTCATGTGCTGTTTTGATGTGAAGGGGAT